GAGTACTATGCAGGTTCAGAAGATACCCTTATGCCATTATTTGTGACGTGGAGAAAATGTTTCATCAGTTCATTGTGCATTAAAAAGACCAAGACTATCTGTGTTTTCTTTGGAGGCCCAATGGCGATGTTAAGAAAGAGCCCAAAGAGTACAGAATGAAAGTACATTTGTTCAGAGCAACATCGTCACCTGGTTGTGCCAGCTATGGCCTCAAACATATGGTAAGTCAAGAGAAAGAAGCGCATCCCTCAGCAGCTCAGTTTATTATGCATGACTTCTACCTGGATGACGGATTGACTGGCGTTGAATCCGCACAGCAAGCTAAAGACCTCATCCAAGGAGCTTGTGAGATTTGTGAGAAGGGTGGACTTCATCTTCACAAGTTTGTTTCAAACGATTGTCAAGTTCTCAAATTAGTACCACAGAGTGAAAGAGCAGTTGATGTGATCCTGAATCTACCATCTGAGCAACTTCTGATAGAGAGAGTGCTTGGTGTTCAGTGGTCGGTGGGGTTAGATTGGAAATGTGACCTTCTATGCCTGAATGAGTTGCAAATTCCAAGATGTTTTGAGCCAAAGACGCTAAATGGAAAGAAAACCTATGAATTACACAGTTTTACTGATGCAAGCATGTCTGGATACAGACAATGCTCCTATCTAAGAGTTAAGGATAAAGGCGAAAACGTGCATGTCTCATTAGTAATGGGAAAGTCCAGCGTCACTCCAATGAAGATTACTACGATACCAAGACTGGAGCTTACTGCTGCAGTTGTTTCAGCGAAGGTTGTTGTGATGGTTCAAGAAGAATTAAATTACGCTAATCTGAAGCAGTACTTTTGGACTGATTCCAAGGTAGTACTTGGCTACATAAACAACAACGCCAAACGATTCCACATGTTTGTTGCCAACAGAGTACAAGTAATCAAGTCTAACACTGACACTAAAGAATTGCGATACATGGATACCAAGAAAAATCCAGCGGATCACGCCTCCAGAGGTTTAAATGCAGAAGAACTAATGAAATCCAATTGGTTCAGTGGACCTGCATTTCTATGGGAGAAGGAAATCCTGTCTAGCAAAAAAGAGATTCCTAACATTCAAATTGGAGACCCGGAGGTTAAGGCTACTGTAGCGCAGCTATTGTTAAGGAACCCTTCAGCCTCATTGATTGCATATTAAGATTTTCCAGCTGGACAAAGGCAGTGGGAGTGGTTTCATACCTTAAAAGACCTTTCAAGAAGAACAAGCCAAAGACAGTCGCCACAACAGTAGCTGAACGACAAGATGCTGAAAGACACATCTTCAAAGAAAGCTTTCAGGAATGAAATTGTAAGTTTAAGTGACAAGGAACACAATGCCAAGATTTCAAGGCAAAGTTCCCTCCTAAAGTTGGACCCTTTCATCGATGAACAGGGACTGATAAGAGTTGGTAGAAGGCTGGAGAATTCTACCTTACCTTTTGAAGTTAAACACCCAATAGTCCTAACAAGGAGTTCTCAAGTAACTGATCTGATCATCGATGCCAAAAGATGGCAAATCTTCCCGAAGATAGAGTGGAGTCATCCCTGCCCTTTAAATACTGTGTAATGGATTGTTTTGGACCATTCATGATTAAGGATGGGAGAAGAGAGTTTAAGAGATATGCAGTGATATTTACTTGCATGAGTTCCTGAGCAGTGCACATAGAGCAATTAGACGATGTGGCAACTGATGCATCATCAATGCTTTGAGATGTTTTACTGCAATTCAAGGACCCGTCCAGCAGCTAAGATCCAACCAAGGCTCCAATTTTGTAGGAGCAAGGAATGAAGTCGGAAACGCCACTAAGGAGCTGGACAAGGACAGAATTCAAACCTTTTTGACGACCAATTACTGCGAATTTGTCACAAATGTTCCCTGTTCCAGTCACTGGGGAGGAGTATGTGAAAGACAGATTAGGACTACAAGAAGCATCCTAAACACCATTCTTAACGATTACAAGGGAAGACTCAACACGTCTTCACTTCGCACTTTCTTGTATGAAGTCATGGCCATAGTCAACAGTCGACCATTGACCTGCCAGTGCCTGAACGACCCAAAGAGTTTAGAGCCTTCAACTCCAAATCATCTGCTAACAATGAAGAATAAGACACTTCTTCCACCTTGCGGCAAGTTAGTTAAAGAAGTGTCCGCTCAAAAGCAATGGCGACGAGTTTAGTTTCTGGCGGAGCAATTGTGAAGTAGGTGACGAAATGAGTACCTCATCAATCTAAGTTCAAGACAGAAATGGTTCATGCTGAAAAGGAATCTCAAGATAGGAGACATCATTATTGTGCAAGATGAAGTTCCAGGAAATGAGTGGCCTCTTGGTATGGTCATGGAGACTTCAATGAATCAGGAAGGTCTCGTTCATGCGGTGAAAGTCACATTGGGATCCAGAAACCCCTAGAAGGGAAGCGATTCCAAATGCTTCGTTGTCGAGCAACCACTACAGAAAGTTGTTCTCCTTATGGAGGGCGTGGACTAAAAGAAGATTTAATGTCATGTTTGGAAAGCTTTAAAGTATTACGTGAAATTATTCATGATTTCCTATTTCTCCTTTTTAAAAATCATCAATAATTTGGTGGGAGTGTACCTACAGCAGTTAAGTCGTGCGCACGCAATGTACGACACTTGAAGCGGCGCGCGCTTCTGCAACAAATTTGCATGCGCAACATTGCACAAGTTTTCAACGGGTTTCTAATTTAAGCTGTTTTACGCTCAATTACTATACTTTGTAGCCTTGAGAGTACTATTTTTTAGTCACTGGAACTTTATTTGAACATGTACCGTAAACACCCGCAGGTAAGCCGCACCCTGAGTTTAGCAACTCAAATTTTGGAAAAAGTTTTTTGAAAGAAATCCAAAGTCGAACCTTTAGGAGTCTTGTTCATCAAACGTAAACTCACTTTTAACATTGAAATGAAAAATACTTCAAAGTCTTACCCACAATTTTAGCGCTTTAATATAATGAACATCATTTCCACCATCTTTGACATATGATTGATCTTTTTCTGGAATTTGTAGACAGGTATTTCTTCATTCAACACTGTTTTTCCATAGATTTTTGCTCGACTGTTTGTTGAATGTGCGTAGCTTAGTAACCAGCCATTCAATCGGATTGGAAGATGGAAAACTGGACAACGGAAGCAGCCCAATGTTTTTTGAGAGTTTTGTGGGTATTACACAAAGCACCGTTTCTGTAACTTGTCTTGCAATGGCTAAACAAAATTGAGAGATAAGTTGCACGAAACATTGCCCAGTGTAATGGCGTCTTTATTTGTTAATACGTAGTTGACACAAAACTGTTTTTGTAAAATACAAAATACATTTATTTGTTTACACAATCTATAACAGTACATGTACCAGAATGCATATATTTGTCAAGAAAAAGAATTTCTTTACATTGTAATATAAAAAAGGCATTAACCACTGGGTATTTACATGTCAACGGAAAAGTTCTGGAATGAAGTGTTATAAACTCATGTTCAGCCGTAAAAAGCTATTTGAAGCCATAGAAGTCCTCCTCATCATCACTCCTTCCAAACATCATTTCATAGGTTGCTGGATCAAGTCCTACTTGTTCCTTCTCGTATGCATCAGCGTAGTACAGCTCATTGTCAATCGGCCCTGCATCATCCACATCCTCAAAAGGGTCTTCACTTTCCTGCTCCCATACTTCATCATCCTTGGGTTCCATCAATTGCATTAGTGATGCAGCACTTGCGGAAAGATTTCTGAATCATCTCAGTTGGAATGTCATCCCATGCTTGCTTGATCCAGTTGCAGATCACATTCAACTCAGCTTTACACATATGGCTGGTAGCAAGCAGTCAAGGTGTGTTATCCAGATATCATCCACTGCTGCCAGTTGGGACACTCTTTATGCCTTTCTCCGCAATAGTGCTATTTGTCACAATGTCAAATGTCAAAGGTGTCTGGTCTGCATTACCAATATGTCTCAGTTCGAAGTTATGCTGCTTTCTCTTGGAAATAATAAAGCGTTGAAAATTGATCAGTTTATCTTTGTAGTCTTTAGGCAGTTTCTGAGCGACTGTAGTGCGGCGTCTAATTGAAAATCCATTGCGTTCCATAAAGCGGTAACACCAATGTTTCGAAGCTCTAAATTTTTTTCCTCCTCTAGTCCAGATTTCTTTGCAATAAGTTTGGCCTTGAGACATAACATTGGTAGAAATTCCGAAACCTCCTTGGCGTTTCTCTCTGACCCAACACACTAGTTCTTTCTCCAGTTCCAGAAAATGTGCCACACCATGATGGTTTCCATGTTTCATCTTCGGGGTGTTTGTCAACTTTTCTCTTTGAACTCACCACCTGCAAACACAACTTTCATCCACAGAAAACTTCTTTCCAGTGGCACAGTTACGGTGATCGACGGCATAGCTCACAACTCGCAACTTGAACCTGGCAGTGTATGATGTATGCGGAGTACCTCTTTCTGACATGATTTAGATCTGATAACTCTTATAGTGTATTGTAAGGCTGATTAGACCGTAATAAATCAAGTTGCTTGGTTCTACATTTTTAAACAGCTGGGTAGGATCAAAAAGTAAATCAGGATTGAAAATTGCACAGCGCTGCTTAGTTATAAATGTGCTTTTGTGTAAGTATTGTTCTTTGATGATTTATTGTAATGTGTTTTCTCATTATGGGTTTTTGGAGGTTAAAAAGAAATATGGATAGATTTTCTTAAATAAGACTCAAGGAAAGACGTCTACATTCACTAACGAATACGATAAGAACTTAAATTGGAAGGAAATGGTAAGTAGTAAGAAGTAATTCCTATTTTTGTGCGCTTGAAATAGGTAAACAAACCAATATGTGAGTTGTTGACAGAATGCAAATAAGGCATTTCATTGCATAGCAACAGGATGCATTTTGGCACAATTGGTTTATGCCAAGCCGCGTGGGACTTGGGCGAGAACGATAAGTTTGCCTTGTTTGTTTATTCTCAAGCAAAACAAG